CAAAAAGGATCGTCAAGGTAAACCTTGTGTGTTTTTTGACTCTCCCTTCCACATTAGAACCCTAGACATCGGGAGGATTGAACAGGGCTTTGTAGAGGGACCAGCTATGGTGAGGACAGATGGATATGTCTGAGAGTCAGGAAAACTCATCCCAGTTCACTGGCTGATGGAGTCCATAGTTTCCCCAGTGTTTGTGTGTTCAGTAAGACTTGGTTGCCTAAAGTAGCATTCCTTAGCAAATCTTACTTGCTTTTGAAGCTCCAGGATGCTCCAGCTCTTAGCTGGGGTCTGGGGTTTAATTTTTATGTTTCTCCATTGAAATTTTAGGCAAGCTGGGGATGGGGCTGAGTGGTGGGGAGCTTCCCTAGTAGGGCTGAAACCTTGGGTTTGATTCTCAGAGATAGCGAAACCTAAAAGGTCTGGGATCCATACCCTCCCAGCTGCAGGAGCTCTCTGGACTGGAGGGTGAGGCTCCCCCGGTGCCCGGGCAGAGGCCGAGCCTCAGGTTCCTCTGCGCTGTTGAAGTGGTACTGCCGCTGTACGGGTGCAGGAGCCCTGGAGTCGGCGTCGCTGAGGAACCTCTGCACCAGCTGGAGGAAGGTCTGTCTGTCCTCCGTTCAGGGAGACTGCAGGGATGGATATACCACGTGTCTGTCCGTGTGTCTTTTCTTCCTTCTCTCCACTCTTCTGTCAGCTAGTAGGCAGGCCCTTCCATTGCTCAACTACTAAAGCCCTGGGCAGAATTTTTATGCCTTCTAATATAGACTTTCACTTAAGTACATGCCTGCCCAAATCTTCACATTTACAAAAGAACTACCCTTCTACCCAGAGGCTTAAGGGAGGCAAGAAATCATGTGGCTAGTTTTTGATTGAGGACTTGCTCTGTGTTGAAATCATTGGTCAGAGTCCTTTATCACAGCTTTCAGTTATCTCGGCAGAACCCTGCTGTAGGACAGGAGAAATAGCTCAGTAAGAGCACTGCTCTCGAAGGGCCTGCATTCCATTCCCGGCACTCACTTCAGGTGTCACTGCAGACCCAGTAGGATCTCACACTTCTCTCCTCCTCAGGCACCTACACTAGTGTACACAGAGAATCCCCCATAGACACAGACACAGCATCCATAAAACATTGCCACAAACTCTTGTCTAGGCACTCAATCCTTTGCCTGTTAATGGAATGGCTCGAACGGACAAAAAAGCCAATGTGAAAAAGGTATTCCAATTGATTTAAGTTTTTTTCTAGACTCCATGGTTATCAGCATGAGGAGCCCAAGTCAGACGTAAGGTGTTAGTGGGAGATGTGGAATAGGCTCCTGAGGCTGCTGGATAGATAACATCCATCATCAGTACCATCACCTGACCTTGCTTGGAGTGAGTCCAGCCCTGAGCTGCAGCAGGCAGAGTCTGCAGGAAAAACTGTCGATTTGAAATTGGCCAGTGATACGAGCCTTGTACCTGTTCCTCATTTGGATCCCATAGTTACTACATAAGGAACTTCACAATACACTGGGCCTACAAAATAATGGGCCTTATCATTATGTATAGTCAACAGAGCCATTCAGCCAGCTCCTTGTGCTATGCATACCTGTGGTTGCTCGAATAATGATCTAAGACCGAATCATAAATGCATTTTCTTTTTAAACAAAGAATAATTGCTATCCATATAAATATTTAGTTATTTTTTTTATTTAGTGTGTATGGTGTATTTATGTGTAATGTATGCGAATGTATGTGCACAGAAAGCGTGTAGGCCTAAGTGTGTAACCGCAGAAGCCAGAAGAGGGTGTTGGGTGTATTCTTCTCTTTGTTCATTTGAGGCAAGGTCTCTCCCTGAAGCTGGAGCTTGTCTTTCTTTTTGACCAGCTAGAAGATAACAGCCCCCCATCCCCCACTCAGCCCAACTCTCTGCTGGGATTGCAGACATGCACAGGGTCATGTAAGTGGAAGATAACCGTCCACGGGATATGGATATTATTGGTTAACTTTATTGAGGGAAAAATCACTTACATGAGAAACCCATAGCCCAGGTCAGTCCTCTGAGCATCCAGTCTCAGCAGCTCTCAGAGACTCAACCAGAATCCCAAGAGAGGACGAGTCTCCTCTCCTCAGATCTTTATCCCACACGCCCCATACACACCTGTGGCCACGCCCAAACTTGCGTGGTCAGAGCCACAGGTGCCTACAGATCTCTCCCTACAGGGTCATGCCCAGTTGTTACACATGTACTACATCCAAACACGGGTCCTCAAGCTTCTACAGCAAACACGCAGCCTCTGGGCTCCGTTCAGGTCATTGAAATCCATCTGTTTGGTTGGCTCCAGGACAGTCATCATTTCTGATAAAGAGGAAGACAGCTCAGAAGCTCGCTGTCCAGAGTGCTTTGTCAGATGCCTTCCAGAAACTGGCCATCGTGGTTCTGGGTGAGCCTTTCTTGATTATCCCAAGTGCTTGACTCTCGGTGAGCTAAAAGGTCATTTTAAAGCATAAATAGTGTGAAAATGCTGTTGTCTGGAACTTTCATTCAGGGAACTCTTCCATGGCAGTGGGCTCAGGTTTGTTCCTTATCATGTTTATGAGAAAAGTGACAGCAAACTGTCTTGTTCCTTAGGTATAGAAGTCAAAGGGTTTGCCTCATCACTGGCGTTTCTCTTTTGCTTGCCTGTCACTAATAGGGTTTATGAGCTTTGGATTCTGGGTTTGCCTGCTGATTTTCTCTGTCATAGTGACCTGTAGACTCCCTAAGCTGCCCTCTCATCTGCAAAACAGGCTAGAGGTTCTTCTTACCTCATAGGGACACCATAAGAGTAAATGAAATGCCGAGAGTGAAAAAGCACAGGCTCTGCTTACCTGAAAAGCCGGAAGTCTGTTAATTATCACTGTTCCCTTCTCTCTTAAAAAGTGAACAGCTGGACCAAGAGTTCAGTTTTGCACTTACATGTATATAAATATGTGTACATTGTGTGTGGACACCAACAGACACAAAACTTTTAAAACTTAATCCTGGTGATGAGGAGACAACTCAACAGTAAAGATTCACACCACTCCTCCTCCAGAGGATCCAAGTTCGATTCCCAGCGCCCACATCAGGTGGCTCAACAAGCACCTCTAAGGACATTTGCACTCATGTGCACATGTCTTCACACAGACACATAAGCACATACATGTACATAGCCTAAAAATAATAAAATGAGTAAATCTTAAATAGCAAATAGAAGAGAATTTCTCTTTTTCTGAGCATGGTGGTACATGCCCTTGATCTTAGCACTTAGGGGTGTGAAACAGGAAGATTATGAGTTTGAGGCCAGCCTATGCTACATAGTGTCTCAAATATGAAATCTTCGGCTCGTTTTCACTTGTGGTGCTGACATACGAGGTTGGCATAGTCAGGGAATCATCAGCTGCAGTCGACTGTAGCTGCAGTGCTGGCATTGGCATCTTGTTCCCATTGAGGCTGACACTGGTGGGCTTGGCAACAAGTCTCCAAAAAGATTGCTGTCCTGTTTCATAACCTTGAAAGCTTAGCAACAGAGTGAGATACCCAGACTCATCAAGGCTTTTTTTTTTT